CAACAATATTTTACTTTATCACTTATTAACCCAAATTGTCTCAGATTAATTTTTTTTTGATTTTTTTGGTTTCATCTATATATAGGGTAAAAGTAGCGTTAAAGTAAAGGAAAAAATATGACTAAAACTTTGGGAGTAGTATAGTTCTTCCGATATCGGCCGTTGCCATATGGCAACACAGGGCGTATTCCAGATGGATTGTTAGAGGGCAGTATTTGGTTAAAATATGAAATAATAGAAACATTGTTTATAAGTTTTAATACATTTATTGATAATATATGCATATTCTATGAGCAAAGCGGATGAAGAAATTAATTTTTAGTATGAAAAATAGCAAAATAATTTCAAACATAAACCCACATCACATTTTGCACAGGCTACTCATCCTATAGTTTTACATGCTTCACCAGCAGAAGGCCAGTCACGCCCTTCATGCATGTCAAACAATGCTGGGAGTCACTTGGGGTTTGTCACCTGCTCTGATGCATTAGTGCTACACAGCACTAGTCAACCCAATATTCCTCTATGGCGCTTTGCTGTGTTGGAATGCCGCAAAAAAGTCCTTATGCCTCGGACGAATGTAGAAGGTTCAGCGCGGGAGCGCTGAGGTCCACTTCGATGGCTGCTCTTTAAAAAAAACCCATAATTTACCGCCCATTGGCCGATTTGTGGAAAACCGTGCTGCGAAATCCGCACGTAGATTGGAGGTCATAGGGAAAATCAATTTCAGAACCTTTGGGCACCGTTTATTTGGGGCGGGAAGCCCAAGCAGCACAGACTTCATGACACCTAGCTTTAAGTGGAAACGAACTTTTTGCACAATGGTTGAGGAGGAGGGGTGGTGCAAGGGAATGAAACCTAGCCATGGATCCCTAAACATTTTTACGGACGGCTCTAAAATGGTTACAGGAGTGAGTGCCGGGATTTACTGCTGGGAACTGAACGTCAGGCGGATAGTAAGGCTACCTGACTATTGCAGCATATTTCAAGCAGAGTTTTCACAATGAGGATAACTGCAGAGCTAGCCTTCACCGAAACGTCGATCAATTCTAAATTAAACCTATTCCAGGTGGCAATCAGGCAGTTTCCTCATATAGTATTTCATGCATAAACGTCCTTCGCAGCCGGAAAGCCATTGTCAAGCTATATGCTGATAAAAGCCTACATATCTATTGGCTGCCCGGTCACAAGGGAATCTAGGGTAAATAGCAGATAAGAATGCAAAAACCGCCACCAGTCTTTCCTGGAATAGAAAAATTACATTTGTATACCACTTCAACACTTGTACAATGAAATATACGATAATATGATTAGGCAGTTCAGGGCTAGATGGAATAAGTTAACCATCTGCAAAACTGCAAAAATACATACAAACGATTATTGTTTTACACCGTCCCATACATGATCGTATTTTGCGTTGCCATATGGCAACACGGGG